GCTGTGGCTGAGGCTGTGGCTGTGGCTGTGGCTGCTCTTGCCGCTGATGCTGCTACTGCTGACTGCTGAGGAGGCCGCCGCGGCGTTCTGTAGACCGGACATGGCGGCGCTGACAGAGGCCAGGCCCTCGCTGGTCATCAGGTTGAGGTCAATGTCCGCGGGCAGCAGGTTGGGGTTGACCCCGGAGGAGATCAACTGTCGCCTCATCTGCTGGATCATCTGGATCTGAGGACAGACAAACGTACGGTCAGCATATGACGTCACAGTCGCCCCCCCACGTCACGGGATGACAGTAGTTATGGTGATCCCTGTGTGTTGTAAAAATGATTTGTCGTGCGTAACGAAAGCTAAGAATGTGTTCATTAAGTATTAGCTACTTAACACTTTACAGTCGTGTGCTTTCAATGCATTTCGCTGTCTCATCCCATCTACATGAAGCTCATTTTGCAAGTGTTCTAACCGTAAAAATGACACATTCAAAAGCTTTACCCCCAAAAAATAAGAAAAAGGAAAAGAAAAGGGAAATGAAAGCACAAAAAATACAAAATAGAAAAAAAACCCAAATAAAATAAAACAACAATAACAAGAGAAATGCAACAGTTAACTGACAACAAATTCTTTTCATCAGAATAGTTTGGTAACAGGTGTGCCACAGTTGTATCTGTCATTTTTCCTTTTTAAAACATCTGGCTCTTTAATTGAGATAAGAACTCGAGAAAAGGTATTGAGAAATTTGAACCATAATCTCGATGTCTCTCCCAGGCTATTATTCCCTCTGCATCACCAGGTCTCCTTTCTTCCCCTCCCATCCTCCCGTCCAACCTGCTTTCCATCCACCCCCTCTCCCTCGCCTCCCTTCCTCCCTCTCGCCTTCCTTCCTCCAACCCCTCTGACGTCACTCCAACACATAATCCCCACCCCCTCAACACCCGCCTTCCCCCAACAAAACAACAACAACAACAACAACAACAACAACAACAACAACAACAACAACAACAACAACAACAACAACAACAACGAACAAACAAACAAGCAAACAAACAATCTGCAGATGTTTGGAAGCTGCACTGGTGTGGTTTGCTCCTTTTTTCTCCCTATCAAACTCCTAACGTCCTTATTACTCGTCCTTTTGCTTCTGTGTTTGTTACTCTCTAGTAACACTTCAAATCTTCAGCACATACATGACTCATTTGCGCTAGCCAAATCCCATAAAACTCGTATTGAAAAACAAAACAATCTAACAAAACAATAATGGCAAAGCGCTCCTATTTCTTTTGACCTGCTCATGACTCGCAGTTTTCACCAAATTTTAATGTTATGCATCCAAAATGCCGTTGGGAGGCAAACATCTATGTACCATTGAAAAAAACGAATGCTGCATCTAATAATGATAATGGTTTTGAAAAATGTGCTTGGTACATGCATGTTCTTTTGTTCTTCAAGTCCATCTCAATATTCGCGTTCTGCTTCTGTATGGAGATAGAGGCCTCAAGCCTGTATCGAATCTAATCAAATCTGCATATCTGCAGGCATTGACAGCATAAAGATTATATTATAACTCCAGATGCCAATAAAGGAATACATCTTTTTTATATATATATATATTTTTTTTAACGGGGAAGGGAAAAAAAGGGGGGAGGGGGAGGGGGGCCTGAAAATGTTTGCGATTAAAGTGTTAATTAACTCAAAATAAATTTGATGACACATTTTGTAACAGCTTGCTAATATGATATTCACAACATATTCATGCCCGTATGGATGAACCACTTGGAGTAGTGTTAAATATGCATGTATATGCACACAAGTCGGATGATTTCGTAAGCGTTGCTCGTTTTCATAATGCGTTTATCGTGAGTGTTGAAACAAAAGCACATTCTGTTCGATATTGTTTCGATTGCATACAGGATGCGTTTTTTTTGGTGTTATTATATATAGCGGAACATTATCATCTTCTCATTAAAATCGGTGTTTTTTGGGTCCTAACAACGCTTTCAAAGTCTACGCTGCGTGCGTACGTAAACAAGACACAATTTGTTACCGCCATCACAGGTGCAATAATATCCTCACTAATGGTGTCTTCATCAATAGCACTGTAACAGCAGGTGCTACAAAAACAGCAACAGCAAAACTAAATTAACAACAGCAAAAACAACAAAAGCAACAACAACTACAACAACAACAACGACAACCCCTCCAAACTTAAGTAATTTGTTTTAAATGCAGGTATGTTATGCCCCGCCACATCGACGTAGATTAGATAATTTTAAGAAGCAGGCTTTAGATAACACCTGCCAAGGCCAACGAAGGCTGAGATGAATACCAGATCACAACAGAAAGACCGAGATACTCTGTACAAATTTCTCCCCACTCGGGAATGGAACTCGGGTCACGCTACACCATAGACGCCGAACCCCCCCCCCCCCCCCCCCGATAAACTAATAACAACAACTATGATAAGGATAAAGGGGAACAAACGCAGTGCAGCATCACCCTATTTCTTTTCTTTACCCAAATCGCCCCTTCCTTCCCCCTCAAACCTCCTTTAGCGCGCTCATATGACCTTAGCAGTTGCGAGCGCCGTAAAACCTTATACTATACATACAAACCTCCTTTTTTTCCTTTCCGTGCAATTCACCCCTCCTCCCCCTCCTCCTCCTCCTCCTCCTCCTCCGTCTCCTCCTTACTCCTCCATTTCATATCATCTCCATTCTCCTCCTCCCCATTTTCCCTCCTTAAATGCAATCTCCTTCTTCCTCTCATACATTTTCTCCATCTCCCCTCGTTTCCTACATACCGCCCCTCCCTCTTTGTCCTCTCTATTATCTCTACCCCAGACACGCATATTCATCATCGTTCTCTTCTCCTTCCTCCTTTTTTTTCTTCCCTCTATCACCCCCCCCCCTAAAAAAATCCACCTCCTCCTCCTCCTCCTCCTCCTTCTCCTCCTCCTCCTCCTCCTCCTTTTCTTCTTCCTCTACCAACCCCTCTCACAGCACACAACAACACCACCTCCTCCTCCACCACCACCACCACCACCACCAACAACAACAACAGGACCACCAGCAACATAACAAGATCACCACTACCACCACCACTAACTACAACAATACCCATCACCACTAGCACCACAACCACCACCATCACCACCACAACACCACCACCACCACACCAACATCACCACAACTACAACATAACAACCACCACCACTACCACTACTACCACTACTACCACCACCAACAGCACCACCAACAGCAACACAACAACACAACAACCACCACCACCACTACCACCACCACCAACAACAACACAACAACACAACCACCACCACCACCACCATCACCACCACCACCACCATCACCACCACCACCAGCAACACAACAACAACAACACCAGCACCACCACGCCCCGCCTCACCTGCATCATCTGCTGCTGCTGTAGCTGGAACAACATGTTCCTGAACACGTTCACCTCCTCGGGCACCGCCTCCCCGGGCCTCCCCCCAGGTCTCACGCCATCCACAGACTGAGCCACAGCGGCGCTAGTGGCGGCCAGAGGCTCAAGCGTGACGCTATTGTGTCCGGCGCTGAACAGACCTTGCCCCGCCGCCCCCAGCGCCCAGGCTAGAGCGCGGTCTGCGTGACCCCCGGGACCTGTGGCGCCTTTCCGGAATCCTGCAGACTCGTGACCATCCCCAGCCACCATTTCGTCAACGTCGTCATTTATCGCGTTTTCGTCATCATCCTCGTCGTTATCCTCATTGCCTTCTTTGCTGCTGCTGTTGTTGTTGTTGTTGTTGCTGCTGCTGCTGTTGTTGATGCTGTTCTTTTTGTTGCTGGCGCTGCTGTCGCTTTTGGGTGAGGTGAAATCTACGCCATTCAGCTTCTGTCGTTTTATCCTGTCTTCATTATCGCCGTCGTTGCTGCGGTTGTCGTCATCATGATCGTCGTTGTTGTCATCGTTGTCGTTTCTATCAAAGCAGTTGTCGTTGGGACCGCGAAGATCTAAGCTCCGGCCTTCCCCGTCTTTGTCTACGCTGTGTTTCTCTCCCATCTCAGGGAAAGAGTTGGCCATTCTGTTCCGAAGTCCAAGAATGAAATTCTCCTCTGACCGAATCTTACCACGGAACCTCGAGTCGGCCCCGGCGGTCGCAGTCTCCTCGTTCAGTCTAGAGTTTCTGAGTTCGTCTCCACACACATCTGCTTCAGCATTGTCTTCTATATCGTCAGCTCCGTTTAGAAGACTCCCTTCCTCCTCCTCAATCCTCTCCTCCCTCCACTCCTCCTCTCCTATATCTCTCATCCTCTCCATCTCCTCCCCGCTAACACGCCTCACAACTCCCTTCCGCGTCCTCTTCCTGCTACCTTCAATCACTCCTCCTCCTCCCCCTCCTTCTCCTCCTCCACCACCACCACCACTATCTAAGTCGTATCCGTTCTGTAACAGGCCGTTGACGGGCGGGTCATAGGGCATGAGCAGACGGTTCCTGTTGCCGCACAACTTCTTGTGTGCCAGGTACTGACCAGGGTCGGAGAAGCAGATCCCACACTTCTCGCAAGCGCTCAGTTTCCCGCTACCAGACATTGGGGAGACCGCGTCAGACGACATGTCTTCTGAGGAAGAGACAGAGAAAACTTGCGGTAAATCTTCGGCTCAAATTTATTGGTCGTTAACAAACAGTAATAGAACAAATAAGTCAACAAACAACAATAGAAACATCATAAGGACAGTAAAAACAAAGTATTTCAAAGAGAAAAGGGAAACGTAAAAGAGGCTGGAACATGATGATATACTGCCTTACGACATGTTACTGTTGATATTGCAAGCTTTTTGCTGATATTGCATGATTATTGTTATTCTGGTCGTCATTGTTGTCTTTGTTGTTGCTGTTGTTGTTGTTGTTGCTGTTGTTGTCCCTGCTATTTTAGAACTTCTTATTGGTAAGTTAATGCAATAATTGTAGATGTAAGTCTCGTTTTCTTTTCTTTTTTGTTGTTCTATCATTGGTTCAGAGTTAACGTCAGTCCCAAGAAATACGTGCCAAAAATCTTCACTAATCTCTGCTCCTCCCCCGTGCCCAACACACACACACACACACACACAAATTATAAATAAATTCAAAGGCGAATACAATCGTGAGATCTATGTACAGCTAAATCATAAGACGCGAGGTGTCCGCTTCTATTTGTGGGGGTAAAATCGGCGCCATTCTTATTGGAAACGATAACTTGGTAGCTTACAGACATAACGAGTATAACAATAAGATGATATTTATCCCCACCCTTCTCAGACAGTTATCGATAACAGTTCTCGTTAACGGCTGTTCTATCGATAACAGTTCTCACTAACGACTGGCTATTTGACCACGGGTCCGAACAATCAACACGGTTAGCCTAGACTAGGATCAGATGACGCGGATGTGAAAGCATGGGGTCGTGGCTAAGTATCAACGGGGTTAAATGTGTTTATGAATGATGCAGGAAGGGCGCACGATCTGCCACGAGTCAGAGGCGGGAATTCCCGAGTACCATCAGACGGGGCGATGGGTCTCGATACCCCCAGCCCAGCAACCAATCAAATCATCAGCAAACTTACATTGATGAGGGGCTGATAGGCGGCAGCAGCAGCAGCGACAAGATTCCCTTCTATTCAGAAGGAGGAAAATGATTCGGTGGTCGCAGGGATACATAATGGATGACGGCTCTATGGTTTGAGGGACTAGCCGTAATCACTACCAGTGAGGAGAAGAAGAGAAAGGGTGTTGCTATCGCAGAAGGGAATGGTATGAGGAGTGGTGGGAGTGGGGTAGGGTTGGGGGTAGAGTGAGGGTAATGCCCTGACTGAAACGTGCATAAAGATTGCTGTGTTATAAGGGGGGGTGGGTGGTTGGGGAGGGGAGAAAAAAAAGGAAAGAGAAAAAAAAAAAAGAAGAGGCAAAGTTTACTATGAGGTTGTTAGGTTTTAGGAAGCTTATTGCCTTTCCGGCACTCTGAAACCATAGGTTTTGAGAGAGACGTATATCTATCTATCTCTCTCTCTCTCTCTCTCTCTCTCTCTCTCT